CCTTCTGGTGGCATGGCAGTTAGGGCATGGAAGGGTGCTACAGCAGAACGCTTCTACTTGCTTGTGTGTCGTTCCTTGGAATCCGCTTCAGTCCCCCAATGCAACCCGCGCCGTTGCATGTCACGTAGAACACGATTAGGGGTGTCCGAGGAGACTTGAATAATCCCGCGGACCCATTAGGTATTTTTGGTTCCGAAGTGAGGGGAATACTGTGATCGATGTTGTTATTTTGACAACCTCCAAACGGGTCCCTGGATAACGGATCGGATAACTGTGGTGTAATCTTCCTTACTTCTAACCTTTTGTAATCTATGGTTACTTCAGGACTGCAGAAAGTTGGTCGACTTTTGACAGATCTGCCAGCGTGAGCAATGTCTTCTATTAATTGCCTAGGACCCGAAATCGCTATCCACTGAACCCTCCTGAATTCCATCCACTACCGTTCAAGTGGATAGCTGCAAGTAACACACTCGCCAAATATCCATATAACTGGGCAAATAATTCTTAGGATTTTCAACGTAGTCGTGTGCTTTTTATTCACTTCAACTCATACCCAACTCCCAAGTATCGCTGTCTTACCCAGTTGTTGACTTTATATCAGCTCTAAGTTTGGTTTTACTTTACTTTACCGGTAATGTAGATCTGTGTAGTGTTGAACTTCTCTCTGTACTGACGCCAGAATTGAATTGGCCATGCCCGGATCAGTATGTCTGGTCATGTAAATTTATCTGATTCACGCCTCACTTTACTGTATAGTGTACGTCCATCCGCAGTTGTGGCAGTGATAGTGTAGAAAGAATGGTGATGTCAGTGTATGCAGCTACACCGTTGGGCTCGAGGTATCTCAGTAGTTGGGGATCGAAACTTCTACCTGCAAAGTCCGTGGTTCGAACCCAATCCTGGCTTCTGGATTGTTTCTTCTAGACTTGAGCAATCTGGCAATACCTTAACACTCGTGCTCCCTTCTAGTTTCCCTGTAGCTGCGTATCGAAGGGGCAACACAGCGAAGCACCAGTGCCAACACTGATGATGGTGATGACGACAATGGACCCTTCATAATTTATTATTAACTATATAGTGGGTGTTGGGACTTAGTTTCTCAATTCTTGGCTATTGATAGGCGATACTGTTCTTCGTTTTTGGTCGTTGACTCCGTTGTATTATTTGGTCTCAACCACTGTCGACAAGACTTAGTTATGCTTTTGAAAGATTTTCTAGGAACTCTTGTAACATCTGAGCGCTGGTGTCACACACCACAACCACGCTTACCCCTTAGATGAGATGTAATGGCATGTTTCATTATGTTCTGTTAGTTAATTTGCTTTCAACCCGGAACTTGGCCACTAAATGACGGTGAACTTACTCTATTCAACTTTTTTCCAGATAATCTTGACAAATGGGAGCGGCTCACCGTCGCCGATGCCCTCGAACCTGTCCGCTTCGAAGATGGTGAAGTTGTTGTCCGACAAGGTGAACCTGGAGATGATTTCTTCATCATCACAGAGGTAAGTGAAAGCAGTATACGTCAATCAATTGACGACACAGCTGGTGGCACCAATCTTCGGAATAGTTTTGCTCGACGTCCGTGGTCTAATAGCCATTACTTTGGCCAGACAAGCGTGTCCTCTTGAAACGAACCTCAAAGAAATTTTTTTTTGACCAAATATGTGGCGACTTGGAAGATATGCAATAAAGCGTAGTATAGTCCCTTATAATTCGGAGACTCATTCGGAATTAGTTTAAATCTTTGTCGTTGGGTAGTTGGTTCAGTATATTTACAGTTCAATGTTTAAGAAGGACTGGTTGAGATTCGGAGATCACGCGTAAGTTACATCAACAAGTCGCACTAGTGTAGTGCACGAGGTCGCCTCGTATCACATTCGCAAGTTTGCGACAGTGTGACGTCTCTGGATTTTGAAGGCCATGTAGGTCCGCTACAGTACTTTCCCTTTTGTCTAATGAAAGTTAGTTAAAATTGGTTGGTTTGAGCTGTCGAACGGAGACATCTTCAAATCGGATAACCGTTATCTAAAAACAACTGCCGAAGGCCGGTGACAATGAATTCACAGCTAGACAATCCGAAAACAAATGTTTATAGTTGTGTAACAGTTACTTAAGTCGGCATCAGTTCGTGGCTAAGAGACGGGACCCTATCATAGTGCCACGGCTTGCATTGTGATATCATCAGAGTGGATTTACTCGCTGCATACACAACTGAGCGTTTGAACGAAAACATGCAACCACCGAATTCTTCCGTCTTTCGCTACTGTCTACTAACTCCCCATCCCGTCTGGTAGTCACTCTTATCCAGCTGTGGACACGTTGAGACACCTAGGGAGTTGATACATCGCATTCGCAGCTTATATCTACCACATCGCATCCGCTCTTAAATCTTTAACGGGTGAACTCTTTGACTAATCGGCCAACGAGCTGCTCTTGCACCTTCTCCAGAGACTTTATCGACTGACATCTATTGCATATGTGAAACTTGAAAACACAGTTGCTGGACTTACAGTACCCTCTCTCTCTCTCTCTCTCTCTCTCTCTCTCTCTCTCTCTCTCTCTCTCTCTCTCTCTCTCTCTCTCTCTCTCTCTCTCTCTCTCTCTCTCTCTCTCTCTCTCTCTCTCTCTCTCTCTCTCTCTCTCTCTCTCTCTCTCTCTCTCTCTCTCTCTCTCTCTCTCTCTCTCTCTCTCTCTCTCTCTCTCTCTCTCTCTCTCTCTCTCTCTCTCTCTCTCTCTCTCTCTCTCTCTCTCTCTCTCTCTCTCTCTGATGTTTGTAAAGTCATCAATTCCTGAGCTAAAGCTTCAATGCTCGACTGGATACCTGTAAACACCCACCTCTGTGCCTTCCGGCTTTACACTTCATAATCGTTCAATTTAGTCACACTGGTCTAACGCAAGCTAAGGGTCATCGGGCTTCTTTTATTAGATGGTCAAATTTTGTAGGGGGACTCTCACGCTTACAATAATACGGCCGATTCTCTACAAAGCCACCTAGCAGATGAGAAAACTCATATTTTGGATGTACCCGAACCTCCGGAACTATACGGTCGACTTATGTTTCGCTCATTGTGGATTATCCGATTGATTGTGGAAGACAGCGCTCCCAGTCCGAACATCGCTAACGCCTGACGACTTTTGACAAAAAAGATTAGCACATTTTGAAGAAATGCAGTGGAATTGCTACCCAAGTCAGTAATCTCAGTAGCATATGACCCTGTTGTGGATCTAAGTATGCTGAGTGATTCATATATTGAGGTGAGGTACATCGACTTACGTTTTTCGGTGGATGGGTCAATTAACTGATAATCCAGAAAGTAACGAACACAATCGTGAAAAGTTCAAACACTACACTTTATAGTCGACGCCGCAGTTTCACACTGAAGGATATCCAACCATTCGGTATGATTTGCTGTATTGATGGAATACGGCGCTCTACCTTCACGTTTGATGAGTGTGCGGACGAATTTCTGCACCCGTTGAGTGAAATCTTAAGCGTATTACAGCCTCCGCCACACGAATACTTTGCCCATTTGCACCAGGTGATGATAATGTGATGGGTAGTTGTTTCATCTTGTCTTTCCAAGTTGCGTTCTTATTGCATTCAAACATGATAACGCAACTGCATCCAGCGCACGCTGATGGAGTATCGGGAACAAGCTGGCTTCGAACTGTCCTGGATTCAAATCTTGTTACTGCCAAGGATATGTACTGCCATTGAGTCCTAAGAAGAGCGAAACTCGAGTCCAGTGTTCCTCCACTTTGTTGTGGGCCCGCGCTGATAGGCCATGTCAGTTTTCAGGATAACGATTAGAACAAATACCACTCTCAGTTTTGTTCGAAAATCACTTGGAGAGAGTAGCAGTTTGGAGACTAGTTAGGATGAAATTTTGTCGCATGTCAATTTCCTGTTCTCAGCCAAAATTCTGTAACTGGAGCTTTTTTCATATGAATACGACGGATTTTAGCTTTAGGTTGACGAGTAAAATAATAACCCATGTGCATTATGATGAAAACCCCTATTAGCTCGGCTTTCTGTCGCGTTCGCTAGCCTTCAGCTCTTGGTCGTGTTGCAGACTTCCATCTCATCCCTAGGGAGTTCGGGACGTCCACGAAATCGTTCGATAGAGTGCGCCCGTTTCACTGATGTCGCGTACTCTCTGTTCCCCAACATTTCTCCGCGGTTGAAAATCAAGCCTTGTAAACTATAGTGCGTGGCAGCATATTTGTTCTGTCTAATTCATTTGATGGGTCGCACAGGGATTGGTTCCCGTCACTAGTTGAATAACGGTAATTGACGGTCGAACGTGTTTAGCAATTCATCATCAGAAAATGTCACATTTTACTCTACCTCGATAATAATCTTTTTTTGACCGTATTGATACAGTGAGTATCCCTTTTTTCTTGCCGGTTTTCCGCCAGTTTCCGCTTATGCTAATGTGCATGCTTTGTCCTTCGCCACAATTTCGTTAGCCCTCACTAAAATGTGCGTGTGTACACCCACCCATACATCATGTGGGTAATCTAGGCCATATCACATGAGGTTAGAAGCAACAAGTGTGATGATGATGTTCCCTTCGTGTCCACATTTAAGATGGACATGCGCACACAGACATGGTTGCGCGAATCGCTGTGTTTTGGTCACACATGTGAGACAAAGGATGCGCTAGTTCCTAGCTAGGTGCTCACGCTTGACCTAGCAAAAAGGTTGGATGAGCAGAGGCTTGTTTGTATCGATTCACTTCCGCTGAACAAGTGAAAAACGCTTGATTACGTTTGCAGAAAACGTGTGGATGATCCGTGTTGGTTTGCACTTTTGGCGCAAATGCATTTCCTGTCCGTGTGGTTGCTTTGTAAATCCGAATTTCCTAATGTAAGCGAAGAGCTGCAAAACGCTTCAGGGTTGTTACGCCCCCTCTTATCCACCATTACTGGTGTGCGTCCAAAAAAATTATACAGGTCCATTTGCTTTGCATTTTTCATATCTGAGATTCTTTCATCCATCGGAAGCGATAGGTGCGCATCCTACACGCCATGGCAGTCGAACCTTCACCTCATTCGCAACCTACTCAAGTCATGATTGGTTCACCTCGCCTCGTTGTCAAAGATTAATCCGCAATGGGACCATAAATCCATGCATCTCTTTCCGGATGGTTTGTTGGTTTCAGTAGGTTCAAGCACAATTTATAATTCTAGATCAGATTGACTACAAAACCGGTCTAGCTGAAGCTCACTCCAAGTAAATATGTAGGGCTTGAAGAGAACTGCTCTCCAGAGATTGGTCCACCGGACAGTTAGCCTTTTAGCTTGTCAACTTAGAATAAAACGCTAGCAGTAATTACCTACCTAGGCTAAATGCAGAAACTTTTCTTTGGATGTGCAGTCAACTTTTTCGATACAGATGTGAGAACAGACAAGAATTCCTATCAGACCTCTCTGTATCATCGACTGGTCGTGTGATAAGCTACGTATCGTTTGTGTTAATGGTGAGTATGTATTATCGGTGAAACTGGAGCAAGGGAAATACTATTTGACTGCTCGTCTTTTTTGTCTGCTCGACCGAATGTACTGAGTTAACAGCATTAATAAACGGCATTCGAAATGCACTAATAATCTTAAACATTTGTCTCATACGTTTACTTCCAAGTCTGAGATACCAATGGACTAAAAAGCTGTTTCGTTGTAGGTGAGCAATTTGACGGTAGTGTGTGATAATTTTCGTCCTGTCACTGAAGCCGAAATGCACAAAGCTATTTACCTGTCGAACTGGTTTCAAACCAAGTGTTTTCCATTCATAGCTCAATAAATTCCACGATTTGGATGTATTGTATTCAATTTTTTCTCGGAGGCAGTCAGAATAGAAAAAAACCACAGAGATTAGGATAGCTCAGTGCTCGTCACTCCGATGTGCACTTGCTAAAAACCACAGAGATTAGGATAGCTCAGTGCTCGTCACTCCGACATACACTTGTTGCAACAGAGTTATTTCTACCCAAGATGAATGGGATGCACGGTAGTGAGGTGATTTTCGCGTGGTTGTATACTTACCTATTATTTGGAGTGGAGACGAGAACTAGTACCAGTTCATTAAAATTACCGCAGTCAATCAAGGTGGTCGCCCTCTAGAGAGAAAGCGATCTTTTTCACTGCAACATGGGTGCGAAACCCATTCGAAGAAATTCTTTACCTTGTGGACCCGCTGCATAGGCTGCCATTCAGAATGTGCCCTTGATCGTCACCTCAGTTATCACCTGGTGGTTATTGTTGTGTGATTGGCGTTTAAGGTTACTGAGGCAGAAATCTATTCCTAATCAGTTTTGATGATATTGATGACGGCTGCTACCGTAATAATATTATTAATCGTCCAACTGTAACGCTGTTTCGGCGCCTGGTTTCCGTGCTACCCGAAGGAAGCGTGAGGGTTGAGATGCTGCCAATCCGCCCAAGCAGCCGAAATGCCGAGGTTGGATTCGAACCACAGACCTTCCAGTTTGCGCCTCAAGCCTTGAGTCATCTCGAGCTACCGTAAATTCAATGTGGACCAGCTTACCAACTATAGCTCCTAACCAAGTTTACATGTGAACCTTTTTTGAACAATTTCGATTGCTTCGAAACTTTCTCTCCCGACCAGGGAGACTGTCACTACGATGTGGAGTCGCATTTTCTTTCAGCTTCCCATATTAACTAAAAGCGATCAATGAATCAAATTAGTATTATCAGCTATGAACAGTCTTTCTCCCCTTCAGTGTGCCAATCTGATTTCGTATATGGCATGGTCTTCAAACTTGTTTCTCATCACTGTTGAAACATTCCTCGTAGTTTTGTATCATTTGTCAGGGAGCATCAGGCCCAACTTCCACTCTGTTTTCAGGTTCACACAGACTTCATATTCATCATCATGCATAGATTTCGTAACCTACCGGCTGCTGTGCGTTGTTTTGGAATCGGGATAATTGGCCAATCGAACCCCTTGGGATTAGGCTTTCCCGGTTCCCCACATTAGTGTTAGTTTTAATGACCATATTGTGCTCTCAGAACACCCACATACATAGAACTAATACCGGAAAACTCCTGTCTGTGCAAGTTTCGCCTATCTAGCAGTGATATGTTTTGTTGTTCAAACGCAGCAAGTGTTCAGCAGCAAATGCCAATGATTTCGACTTATTTCGGCATATTGCATAGTTAACAAACATATTGTGCTAACCAGAAGCTAAGTCGAATTTATAATGATGGGAGGGAAGATGCCATTGGGTGGATTTTTTCTTTTTATAACCCACTACTTAGATCACTATTTGTGACAAAAAATTACGTGTCTTCATTTCGTGTCAAGTCCATCTTTCCATGAGAATCACCTTTCTTTCCTCGGACGCTTTTATCTTCCAGGGAACCGCCAAAGTTCTTCAGAAGCCTTCTGAATCGGTTGAGCCCGTCGAGGTCGGAAAATTAAGGCCGTCAGATTACTTTGGTACGTTGTTGTCTCTGGTTCCACAGTTATGGTGCGTTTCCGGTTAATCAACTGGTCGTTTTCCTAACTGCACAGTACGTGATGACGACTCTATATCTGATCAGCATTCAGCCGTAGCACTTTTGGGGCCGAGTTTTCATGCACCCCGAACTGAGAACGAAGGCTGAGATACTGTTAGGTGTCCCAAGCCTACACTGTAATGCATGTAGTAACATGCTATCTGTTAATCTGGTAGATTGATCGCGATACCGTCAAAGCGTGTTGTCCAATTTTATTGATGACCCGAGTGCTTCAAAGGCACAGTGCGAATGAAAACCAAAATATTGTTTCACTCTCTTGAGGTAGACCTGTTGACTAGTCCACTGTTCATGAATGGCACGTGATAGAGCAACCCGAAACGTAGTTGCAGCCCTCACGGAGTTCCTGAGAGCTCGTTTATTTTGACGATCCAGGAAGTGTCTGTTAGGGTTTATTCTTGGGTGGTGGAGTAAAACACTCCACACTGCCTTCTATCCCAGCGATATTCAGATATGAACGCGAATTAGCTTCCTATCCTTTGCTGATTGCGCTGGTCGCTTTGTCACCTCATTTCTTTGCTTGGTCCCGCTTATCTTGGAATGATGTGAGAATCCTATCCTAATCTTCCAGAATTTGAAAGAGCTTACTTGCTCGCTTTTGTATAGGTGCTCTCCAACTTCAGGAAAACTTATGGCAACATCATCATTGTCCGTGGAATGACACGGAAAGAGTCTACTCTCTGAAAATTCAATCGGCAGCTGTTTTGTTCTTCATGCTAAGCGTTTCCGATATCAACCAGATTACGCATCTGTACAATGATTTTCGCTGATGGTCTTACACTTTTCATCTCATTTTGTTTTTGGCCATTATTCGGTGTTTTGCATGTTGTCAGCCCGTCATGCGTCATGAAACTCTCAGTCTGAGACTTAGTGCAAAATCTGGCTTCCCATTTCTTCGTTTGTATTCGGACTTGCGGCAGGCCTTGTCCTTACTTCTCTCGTTGTAGTTTCCATTCTTCACGGTCTGTTTTTGTGATTCGTTTTAGGTGAAATTGCCCTACTTCTTGATCGTCCGCGGGCTGCAACGGTTGTCGCTCAAGGTCCCCTCCGGTGCGTCAAACTTGATCGGAAGCGTTTCGAGCGCGTTATGGGCCCGTGTTCTGATATCCTCAAGCGTAACATTGCCAAATACAACAGCTACATTTCACTCAGCGTCTGATTATGCATTGGTTTTCTTCTCGACCTATTTCGTCTTTTCTCATCACACTTACCTTCGGTTTGCTTGTATTCATGTACAGCCCACTGCGTCATCTTCCGTGTAATTCTCACACGACGGTACATAACTGGTCCCGCTTTTAGTCGTCAGTCTATTCATGCGCGTTTGGTACTAGGTTTTTTCATTATCCCCGTTCATTTCATTCGTTTATTATCGGGTGGCTTGTTGTCTCAAACTGGGTTAATCGTTTACCCCCACCACCTGTGAAATTCAGCATCCACACCCAGCTTTTTCGTTTTGCTGTGGGATTTCCCGTTGGGTTCCTAATACTGACCTTTGTCCAATCAGGTTCGGACCTTTCTCGCCCACTGTTTTTCACTTCTTCCTGGTTGAGTATGCTATGGATTTACTTCGTAATTTCTTGTTGAACTGTGATTTACTCTACCCGACTGTGTCTACTCAATTCTGAAATGGTAACCTGCTGTGGTGTCCTGCGTGTGGTAACACTTGATCTGCTCTTTACAAGAATCCCAAAGACCAGGTGGGACTTGTTTGGTATTGTCCCTTGGAAAACAATAGTCATGTCATCCTAGGCTTTTACTAGTCTCTATGGCATCTGACTTCTCTGAGGGGTTGAAGATCATGCTAATAACTAGCTGAATGTGAAGTCTGTGCAACTGGTCTAGGAATTGTGCGCCGACTTTGATCTGGATCACCAACAATCTGAAAACCTATGTAGTAACCCAGCACGCATTACCACTTAACAAATCCCGGTCAGGTACTTTGGAACCGGAACTCGCCCTTGCTGGTGAGCACAGGATTTAGCTCTGCCTTTAATTTGGACTTTACCGGCTGCTTAAATCGTCAGATAACGAGGCGACGTTAACGGATCCTCAGCCACGATTGTGTGTGTAAAACTGTTGACTCAGTCAGGAAGCACGGAAAGTAACTACTCAAGGTCTAACTTGCTGAGAATCCCAGACAGGCCGTAATGAAATAAACGTTAGGTATGCTCAGTCTAAGGACCCGCTTAGAAAACGCCTCGGAGATCTGATTGAAGTTGACGGTGTTATGGCTCCAATACACTATTTCAAAGCTGCAGTCCTTGTGGCTACTTTTGCTGCAGCTCAAAGGGATGATTCGGGAACACCTATCGCCTTCCGACTATTCCAGTGCACTGTCTGATCCGCGTTCCTGGACTACTGGATTGAGTACCCGTCGGCACAATTATGTTACTCGAAATCCCGCTTAAACTTAGTCTCAGCAAATCCACCGGATCAAATGCTCTGCAACCTGTCATTTTTAAAGCGTTGTCACCTAAGTTTAGTCCCTCTCGAGCTTCCGCACAGTCAACAGTGGTAGGAGAGAAGAGTGTCTGAACACTGTGGGTCCAGTAGTATCGCGTCTGTCCATTAAGGTGAATATAAACTTGCAACTCAAAACTGCGGACCAGGTAGTCCAACGTGTATACTCCTGAAGGTCATGGAGTGGGTTGTCCTACCAAATACCGAAGCCCTTGTCTGAAGCTAACCACTTCGCATTGATCATTCTCACCTCAGAAGCCTTTTGTTCCTTGGACGAGGTGACCTATTGGCTGGAACGAGATGCCACCGTGGAGATGCGCCATATTGACCTCGTTAAATCCTTTGACTCCATTAGTCACTGCTTCCTCGTTGTTAAACTTTTGTTTCTCAAGACAGATTTTATCACTACTCCTTGGATAGATGACTTCCTAAGTGACAGGACTTTCAGGTGACCGTGAGCCACTCCTTCTCACCACGAGTAAAGCTAAGTCATGGGTTCTTCGAGAGTTCAATCTAGGGTGACTCCTTAGTTTTGATGCATGTGAAGTCCTGGGTCACATTCCTCTCTCTATCTATCCGTTGCCAAAGTAGCTTCATAGTTATGATTCTTCAGTGCGGTTAGTGTAGAACGCTTTCTTTCATTTCCCAAAAGCACTGAAAGGAATGAAAATAGAAATATTTCTCCACATTTTCAAAAGGATTTGTACGTTCGCACTCCGTCTGCCGCGTACATATTCGATAGTTCTATCCCACCTGTTGCCGCCTTGGAAACAGTACACCGAGAGATTATCGGGTGGAATGTTTTCAACGACAGTTTCATTGGCCCTCAGTTCCCATGCCTATATCTTTATTTGAATCATGCGTCTTGAGCCATGTTCCATGGGTTTGGTCCCGGTTCGACCTTGTATTCTGATCTTGTAATTTTGATCTGCTCCACTAAATATTGAGTCGTTACCAACTCCCCGCATACTCGAAACAACCAACCGAATTGTGCTATGCTACGTAGACATGGGTGATAGGTATGAAGACGACTATAGTTATCGGTTCGACCTCTGGACCGTGTTCATCTTCCCCAACCAGCACAACCACCAACTCACCGCTACGCACTCCTACGCTCTACAATAACGCACTGATGATGTCACCTCGATTGGTGATGAAACGTTTGCAATCAAATTACCCAGCTCAGCAAACAAGCCAACGACACCCCCTTATGTTTCTGAAGTCTGTCTTGAACTGCCATCGGACTACTGGGTCGGGTGTCTCTCAAGTCTACTCTGAACTTGAAAGAGACCTTTGTGTTCTCCCTTGACCACTTTGCTCGTTCGTGTTGGGGAAGATGAACACGGTCCAGAGATCGAACCGATAACTAGTCGTCTTCATACCTATCACCCATGTCTACGTAGCATAGCACAATTCGGTTGGTTGTTTCGAGTATGCGGGGAGTTGGTAACGACTCAATATTTAGTGGAGCAGATCAAAATTACAAGATCAGAATACAAGGTCGAACCGCCGTCTGCTATAAAAGATTTACTATCTTTTCCAACGACTTGGCGAATTGATTTGACCATGTTAATGAAGTAAAAACGGTTGCACTCAAATTAAGTACTTTGGGATCTTTGTGCCTTGTTTTCTTGAGTCCATATGATGTTCGTTGTAGTAGGCTGGAAGTCCCACAGGACACGGTACGCAACCGGTCTCAGCGGCACCGATGGTGTCATTTCCCGGCCGGACTATCTAGCTTAAGTTCGCCTGTTGTGAGCTACGCTTATATCGAGTGCAGTTCGAGAAGGGCGTTGGGTCCATCCAGCCGACGGTGCCATATTTTAACCTATTGCTAAGTTGCTATCATTTTATTGTTCTGAAGTATAGACGCCTCACTGATCCCTTTTCTCTTCTTGAATGTTCTGCAAGGCTTTGTTCGCTCATGGTCTTATGTCACCTGGGCGCGAGTATGTTAGTTATGTATCGCCCTCCGTGATAATGTTGATCAACCAGAAGTATATGAAGGAGGTTGTTAACCAGATAAACCAAACGGGTTCACTCCGTCTGCAAAAGAGGTAACTGAGATCTCAATAGAGGCCTTCATATTGCTTAGGGTTTTACATTTCTCTATCTATTGAGGGTTCTTCGAGTCCAATTAACATCGCAAGCAGGAGTCAGTCGATGCCACCTTAAGACAGAGGTTTTCTCCTAACTAGTTACCAAAGCTAAGTAGGAGTTCTCACTTGTGGTACTCAGCGTAGGCTCGCCTACAGGACTTGGTATATTTGTGGGACAACACTTATCGAACGTCGCGCTGCCGGGATAGGTTGATTACGTGAGAGCCTGGTCCTGGTGATAAAATAAAGACTTCTTGACCTTTGGCGCTGAGTTGAATTGTAGTGTGATGGGCCCGCCACACGGGGGGGGGCTCTCTTCAAGTGCACTGTAGAACAAAATAACTAAAAGAAAAATGGAATGATGAAAGCGGAAAAAATGAGAGGCAAAAAATGGGCATGGAAGAAAATCGGCGGACATATTGAAGGAACTGACCTGTATATAATAGCAATTTGTGTTGAAGATGTATTACTGTACTGAGTTTGTCTGTCGCATACTAGTTGGAACTTCACTTCGGAAAGCAACTGGTATGATGACCTATATCTGTTTCAGCTTCTGTCAGTGAATAATCCACGGTGGTCTGGTGGTACTCTGGAACACATGGACATTCCGAACACTCCCTGTGAGGGTGCTACCTAGCTGGCTCAAAATAACGTATTAGCAATTCATTGCCGCAGCACGCTTCCGTTGTTCGGGTTTTTAAGAAGTCATTGCGGTCTCAGAAGCTAGTAGGATTCCCAGAATCGGGCTTACATGAGTGCTCACCCAGAAAATTAAGGGAAAAAGCTCCCGCGAGATGCGTGCTGGTAAATCAAGGTTATATTGGTCTAAAAAGCATTTTTGCTTTACAATGACCAAAGGTAAGACGACAATGGCTTGCATTTTTGCTTTTGGTACCAATAAAGAAGACGCATTGGGAAAAATCTCCCTAAGGGTGAAACACCTGTACGGTGCTTGTCGAGTTTTCAGCAAGAATTGGCCTCATTTGAAGGGTGGAATCTTCATTGGAAGTGGTAATCCTCATCACAACACAAACAGTCCATGTGTAGCTCAGAGGAATTGTAATATTTGACGAGACTTCTAGTTGAAAAGTGGTCACTCGAGCAGCTGATGGACACCGCAACCACGCAAAACGAATTTCGTGACTGGGGAATGAGCGACGTTGTATCGCATCTAAGTTCGAGGTTGTCATTCCTCTGATAAGCCGCTTATGCAGAAATGTTTGATTGTTCAACCTACCAGTCGGGAGCTTGTGTGCCTTGGTCTTCCTTGAGCTTGGTGAGATGCATGCCGTTGAATATTTCCAATATGGAGGAGACAGCCGCACAACGCATCTAAACCAACGCCACCTATAGGACCGAAAATTCCCGTTGGACTTAAAAGATATTCCCAATTGTCTTTGTGACCAATGCTACTACTGCATGAATTTGAAGAAAAAATAGGTGGTGTATTCCTTCGATCAGTTGAGGGATTCTTTGGTCTTATTTTACAGGTAGGGTGGTTTTCAAGGTGTAACGCTGTGGATAGCGATCCGCAGCTAACATTTGACTTACGAATTTGAGTTCCGTTGTAAACCTCCATTAGGAAGTAACATTCTGGCCCTCCAACTTGGACAAGATGGTGAGTTGCACTGTTGATTCCTCTAATCATATTTCTCAGTGCGCATGCTCCCACGTCTGGGCACATAGTACTTCACCGGTAAGCTTTTAAAAGTATATACGATACAGATTACTTGCTGACACTGTTTTTAAACCTCAAAACAGGTTCAGAAGAGGGATGGACCACGCTGAACTACTCTATGATAGTGGTGTAGGCGACACAAAACTTTGTTATCACAGAAACGTCATCAACATGGGAAGGTTGGTATGTGGTCATTTCGGCTAGAAGGTTTAACATTAGAGTCCTTTGTTCAGACATGGAGAAGTCTGCAAGGACGGAAAAAGCGGGGTTCAATTGAAAAATTATCTTTTCTTAATACTTGTCTTATACCAATGAAATACATCTCCATGTTTCTGATAATACACTGAAAATCACAGATAAAGACCATACATGCGTTCACCTTTGGCCACTTTACCTATGCTCCCAAGTGTGACAGCGGTGCCATTGGCTTTGGCCAGCTGACCGCGTACGAC